ATTGTAAAAGCTCTTTTTTTCATGTTAATTCCTTTAAAAAAATATAATGGTACGTAGGGGTTACATTACCGGCCTGTTTCACCAACACAAAGTATCTGTACTGGAGTAGCACATGCAAATGAAGTCGAAACAGAGAATCATTGTTGAATAAAATTTGCTGCAGAAGAAGCAAAACTATCCATGTTTTAGTAAAGGAAACAAATGAAAAAAATACATTTTTGAGACTTTTCCTTAAAGAGCAGTGGCGTTGAGGAAATGTCTTTATTTGGCTTAATAATCTTATTTCTTCCCATTAACATTTTCAGCAGATTAACTGTTTAACCTTTAAACACCAACCCTACAAGCATTAAGTGCACACCAACTTTGCTAACATGAGTTATCCCACTGAAATGTCAATACTGTCCTGAGCAGAGTACTTCAGGGTTCAAATTAGGAATAGCCAAACTCCTTAAAGCAGCACTTTCAAATACACTAGAATTGATTCAACCTTTCACTCTTCTGAGTCTGTAATTTAATTGATTCTTGGCTTAATTATATTAGAAACTTTTCGTGCAACAGTAAATGCTTATTAAGTGTTGTTTATCTAATTGTAATATTTTAAAAATAGGAATATGCATAATATTGTGCATCTTTTTGTTCTTATTGCATTGTGATTTTTTACTTGCTTGGTCAAAACTATGTATCTTCTTTTACTGTGTTTTAATGTGACCACCAAGATCTACTCTAGACATGGTGGTGTTTAGTGACTTTATAACAATAAAGCCACTCTGACCTACTTCAAAGATAACCGTTTTTAGAAAGATGACATATATACACACATCTCTATGTATTTATATGCACACACTCTTGCACATATAAAAATAAGTTTCTAAATTCAGGGAAACTTAGTGCAATCAGTTACACCAGCTGGTATCCAAAGAATTTTTGCCAGACAGAACAGTACTTTTGCAGCATGTTTTGTCACTTAAGAGTGAGTGTACAGGACTCATCCCATTGAAATCTGAAGCTCTGTGGCACACTCAAAGTTTCTCTTTAGTTGTAGTCTGTCTGACATGTGGAGATCAGCATGTCTGTCTGTGACAGACCCCCTTCGTGTTGGGTATTTGTGGTTCAGGGAGTAATACCTTGAACCAGGCCAGGTAGAACATCTTTTGGCGTGTGTAAATACAAACTCTGTAGGAAAGCCACATTCATCATTAACTGAAATGGGATAAAAAACATGGTACGGCTTTCACACAAGTAAAGTTTTCCCAATTGGAAATGTCAGTAGAAGATTGGTCTGCTTTCTGTAAATGATGTGTTGTGAAATACTATACAGTTCTTTGCAATGAAAAACAAGGCAGGAGAAGAAACAACAGCATTTTTCCCCAGTAAAGTGCGTAATCAGAATTCAGCTCTAACACAAGCTGACACTTATGGTCTTGTACCTCCATCCTCTGTATAAAGCCACATAAAGGATCACTTTGGGGAATTTTAAATGTTCTGTTGGCAAGACCTAATAATCTGTTACTATCATGATAATTCTAATCCTCCAGCACCCTACCTATGCACTGAGCAGCCTGGTAAGAAGACATCTGACACGATTAAAAATAGTTCTCGTTGATTCTTGTTTTTTGCCTTGCTACTGCTGTCAGTGCAAACATAGGCTGAAGTGACACCACCTTCCATTCTTCAGAGATTTATTCAAGAGTCTGTATGGTGCTGGTCTCTCAAACTACCTCAATGTCTGAAGGCTCTTTCTTGTTTGAGCAGCTTGCTAAATTTTGTAAAAAAGAAAGGGAAAATATATACACCTGCTAAAAATGCCAAATACAAAATACTTGCGAATTAAGCTGAGTAGTTTGTTTCAAAATTAAAACTTGCTCTGTACTTGGGAAGGGCTGCCAGTGTAGCTGATAATCACTAACGTTGTACTTCAAGGAATAAGAGAAGTAGTAATTCACTAATATAAATTCTGTCAGTTCTTTAGACAGAGAAATCTATGCTGATAGAATGACCATATCTACATAAGACCCTTTGGAAGTATAGCTGTGAGAATCAGGGAAAAAAAATCAAATCCCTTACCATCAGAGCTATGCCTGCAAAACTTCTGTGTACATACCAGGCCTCAGAAAAGCATGTGCATTTGAAGAATAAAAAATAGGCTTTGAAGTGAGGAGCACTCAGTGAAGATGAATGGGCTGAGGTCACAACTCTACATGTTTTATTGTTTTAGTCCATCAGACTTGCAGAACAAACAAGGCAGCCAAGTGCTGATTTACAGGGGGGAGAGTTATCTTCCTGACCAATAAGGACCAAATGTTTTGATTTTGAGAAACAAAATCAGATTCTGTGGAACAGAAAATCCTTGGAACCTGCTGCTGATTTCCTGCCTTCAGGAATTTCTTTTTTGCAGCTGGCAGAAGCTTAAACCAGCAAAATTGAGCAGTTTAGGAAGCTTTTCACAGCAATGTCTTCCTAATGCTAAGTACAAAAAAGTCGTAAAACATGCCACAGAGAAAATGAGTAATGGTAGCTGATTTCTTGTTTCATCTAACAGGTTTTCAAACTAACTTAATTTAATTATTGTCATTCTCTTGCACCAGTTTTTTCTTGTGGGTTGGTTAAGTTTTAGCTATGGGTGGGAAACTGAGTCCAACTAAGCACCAACCAGGAGCCCTTATGAAAACATGGCAAACTGGCAAATCCAAACATGGATTTCTGAACTCCGCAATGTACAGAAGTGCTCTGATAACCGTAGTTGTCTAGCAAATGGGTGTTTTCATGAGAATTTAACATTTAAGCTATCACCAGCTAATATCTCACCAGGAAAAAAAAAAAAAAAAGACTAATAAATTTACTCCATAAAAGCTTTGGGGTAGGTAGACCTACAAAGAGACTCTAGCTTTCAACATTAGACATGACAGATTCTCAAATTTCCAAAAGCCTCCTAACCTGCCAAGGAGGAAGAAGTTCTTTGGCACCTGTATTTCTGCCCATGATTATGTGCAATATGTGCAATATCTTAACACAGCTCAGGGACCTACCTTACAACTACACCCAATGGAGCATGAGGACAGAGTTTTATCTTACATGGAGAAGGTTTCAGTTTATCAAATATATTAATAACCATATCACCCTTCTGAATGATGGATAGCCGCTCTGCCTAATTTGTAGAAAAGAGTTCTTCCTTATGTCAGTTGGGTGTTTTATCCATTGGTCTAACTGGACATACTGGGATGGGATAGCCTTATGTCTTGCACAGAAACAGTGCCACCTATATCCATAATGAAAGAGACACTGGAGCAGAGATTTGGACCTATCTGTGCCACTTGCCAGTCCAATGCGCTGAACACTGCACTGAAGGATAAAATTCTCCTCATCTATCCGTGACCCAATTAATATTTGTTTTATGCAAATAGACACAGGAGAAGCAGGCTTCTTTTCAGAACTGCATGTAGGTAGGGCTTCTCCTGAGAGAATAAGAACTTGGTTCATGTCTCTTATATCCAGTCTGACAGTGTCCCACACCCAAAATCAGTGCCCTAACTATTGAGCCATTGGAGAACATCCCATGATTTCTCACAAAAAGGCTGAGCAGCTTTAGTTCCTGCTTCAAAGAGAATTCCCAGCTGAGAGTCGAAGCCAGAAACACATGCCTTCACAATTAACCTTGGTCAAGTCTTGATGAATCTAAGTCAGTAACTAAGTTGTGTACAACTGCACTTCATTGGACTACAACCTCATTTTATCTGCTTGTATTTCAGAAATTTTGTAAGTTTGTTGTAATTTAGGTTGCTGTTTGGCATGTAATCAACACTGTATTTGAAAAACAAAACTTGCTCCAAGAAAGCTTGAGAGCGCCAGAGATCATAGTTGAAAGTTTTTTTTTTTTTTAAGAAGTGCTTGTTTTTCTGGATAGAGTGATCATTGTTCAGCTGTTAAGATGATTTAAACTAAACAATTCAACATTAGTTAACAGTTCTATTACAAGACTTATTGTATAAGCAAAGTCTTCCCTAAATGGAGGCCTCTCAATAAATAGAAAAAATAAGTAAAATTAATTTGTGCTCAGAGAACCAGCCCCCAAATCAGGGACCACTTCTGTCTTATTTTGAGGGGTTTAAGGTAGATTGGTACTGTTGGCCACTGGACACATCACATTTGAGTAAGAAAAGTTATAAACGTGTTCTTCCTCTACTACATGTGTTTCTAGAAGGAACAATTCTTGATACTGTATGTTCTGAGTCATAATAGCCAATATTGCTGGAAAGTTACAGAAGACTTTAAAAAAGCGAACTAAGTTTAGCTCAATTATTTATCAGCCCTTTCCCCGAGCAAGGTGTCAGCGCAGAGAGTATTTGAAATTCATGTAGTATTTGATTAGCTCATTGATTGTTCTTACAGCTGAAGATATTAACATTTATTATTCTTACATGCTGATCATTAGTACTGCCTTTATTATCAAATAAAGAATAAATAGAAATTCTGATAAAAATTCATCAAGTCTTATGATTTCCAATGCATTAGATCTGTTTTTTTTAAGGCTGACAACACAAAAGTTTGTCATAAACATTTCAAAAATCCTTTAATGAATCTGAACTCTTTTAAACTTAAGCAGTCTAAGAGAGATTCTCATATCTACAACATGATAAAGTGCTAATCGCATGGTTTTTACTAACACACTAACTCACTCCTATGTGATTCTGAAGAATTGTTAAAACTTGTTACATATATAATGACTAACCACAATTAATCTCTATTAAAGAAAAGGCAAATGTCTGTATTATATTTTGACAGCAAATAAGAAAAAAAACCCTGAGAAATCATGCAAAATTTAATAGGTTTCATTTTAATTGATCATTTTAATGCTACACAAAACATAACAAAATTAAAAGCCTATTAGTGATCATTGTTCCAAAAATGCACTTTACTCCCATGAATTTACTTATATGATTTTAGTGGAAGCACATTTAAAGTGCAGCTGTAAATATTTTTAATCTTTGACTCTTTTTTTACAGGAGCCTCTGAATGTTGTTGATCCCAGTTTGATGGATCTAAATGGTCCAAGTGAAGATGCACTAGAATGGGATGAGACTGACATAAGTAATAAGCTGATCAGTATTCATGAAGACTTAAGTGATCCTGATCAAGAACTCAAGAAGGATGATCTAAGCCAGAAACCTGCTTCAGGAGAATGTGGTGATAGCAATGTGAATGAAGACGAAATTATCAGTGATCATGGAAGTCCTCTTTATTGTCCCAGCATTACTTCCCCTCCAAATCCTCACATCTATCAGGTCTATAGTCTTCATAATATTGAATTATCAGAAAAAAACCACATGCCTTTTTTGAAAAAAGCATCCAAACTCTCCAATGTAACACAGTCTAACATTTTAAACAAAAGTCTTAGTAAAGACTCATCATTTTCATCTACCAAATCCCTGCCAGACCTAATAGGGGGGACCACATTGGCAAAACCATATAACTATATGTATCACAGTGGAAACATAAGCAGGCATTCTGAGAGTGAGAGTGGGATAGTGAGTGAATGTGATACAGAAACTACAAATAATTCAGAAATTTTTTTGCTGAATGATATTGAAAGCACTCAGAGTAATCCTGAAATTAGGCATGCAGAAACTCAAGTGGATGATATAGTTGATGTAATAAAACAAAAAATAAAGCAAGATGAAGAAGACCATGCTAGTCTCTCAGATGATTTCCAGTTGGCACCTTCTGCATGTTGTGGAAGTGAAAATGATGAGGATTTGGACAGCATTACCATGTGTAACCCTGTTTGTTTAGAAGAATTGCAAGGAAAACATGATGTGTTTACATTTTATGATTACTCATATCTTCAAGGCTCCAAACTCAAATTACCAGTGATAATGAAACAATCACAAATTGAAAAAACACATGCAGAGGGCAGTTTATTCCATGGCTTTTGTTTTGATAAAATACCTGCTAAATCTGAACATAAGCCTGGAGAGTCGAAACCAGATGGGTTTATTCATGACCATACTCTGGCAAGTATCCCTGGAGAATCAGATCCCAATTCCTGTAAATCTGCAGAAACTGTAAGAAAATTAACTGTTTCAGAGAATACAAGGCAGGTTTCAACTTTATCTCATAGTTCTTCATTAGAATCTCTATCTGTAGTAGGTGATTTGTTCAGCTCAGGTATTTTTAAAAGTGGAGATGGTCTTCAGCGAAGCACCTCTTTGGAAAGCTGGCTGACTTCCTATAAAAGCAACGAAGATCTTTTTAGTCATCATGGCTCAGGTGACATAAGTGCAAGCAGTGATTCTGTTGGAGAGCTCAGCAAAAGGACATTAGATCTTTTGAATCGCTTAGAGAATATCCAGAGTCCTTTAGATCAAAAGATAAAGCGCAGCATCTCTGATATAACACTCCAAAGTAGCTCTCAAAAAATGTCTTTTACTGGTCAGCTGTCTCTAGATATTGCATCCTCAATCAATGAAGACTCAGCAGCTTCTCTCACTGAACTCAGCAGCAGTGAGGATCTTTCTCTCTGCTCTGAAGACATTGTACTGCACAGAAATAAAATACCAGATTCAAATGCATCATTTAGAAAACATCTTAATAGATCTGTAGCTGATGAGAGCGATGTCAATGTCAGCATGATTGTTAATGTCTCCTGCACTTCTGCTTGTACTGATGATGAAGATGACAGTGATTTGCTTTCAAGTTCCACCCTTACCTTAACTGAGGAAGAGCTAGGTATCAAAGATGAAGATGATGACTCCAGTATAGCAACTGATGAGGATATTTATGAAGAATGCAATTTAATTTCAGGACTTGATTATATAAAAAATGAACTCCAAACTTGGATTAGACCAAAATTCTCTTTGACAAGGGAGAAAAGAAAAAGTAACCTCAGTGATGAAATTCAGCGCAGTAAAGAAGTTAGTAATGAGACATCAAAAGCCACAGACACATTAAGCATTGAAACACTATTGAATGGTTCAGTACAGAAAATATCAGAAAATAATGGCAATAGCAAGAATTTACCACGCGATCGTGAAAAAGGGACAAAGAGTCACCTGATGAAAGATATCTCTCAGGTTGTGAAGGATCAGCTAGTGGATGATATGGAGAATGGCAATGTTGAAAATACCCTTTGCAGTCAAAAGGAAGGTCTTGTTAGAACATCAGCAACTCCAAGAACTCATGCATCACTTAATGCCAGAGAAGCTGAAAATGAAAGTGGTGTCTGTGAAGCATTTACAGATAGTTCAGATGATTCACATATGGATGGCAAGGAGACTGTTCTGTCATCAGATGCATCCAGAAACCCTCCAAAAGAATGTCAAAGTCATCTTCAGCCTGATCGTCACTCTGTTGCTTCCTCTCCTGCTAAAAAGCCTTGTCTTGAATCTTCCTCAGAAACTAATTGTGTAGACGTACAAGATACAGCTTTACAAGTATCCTTACCTAACGGCCAACAATATAGAGTAAGCATTACTGAAAAATCTACTGATTGCTGCACAGCCTTCAAATCCAATGAAGCAGAATGCAGCTCCTCAGCCAATGGTCTTGACTCATGCTGTAACTGTGAATCTGCTGCTTTTGATAAAAGAAACATGGAAGATGGCTCAGTACACAATTTTGTGAGGGAGATAATAGACATGGCATCAACAGCTTTGAAAAGTAAGTCACAACCTGAATGTGAGTCATCTGCTCCAGCTTCATTAGCACAGATCAAGGAAAAAGTGTTAGAACATTCTCACAGACCCATTCAGCTAAGAAAAGGGGACTTCTATTCATATCTTTCACTTTCTTCTCATGATAGTGACTGTGGAGAGGTAATCAAATACATAGAGGAAAAGAGCAGCACTCCTGTGCCACTGGACTTCACAGAAGAGAGAGAAAATATTGAATGCTTTTTTGAAGCCTGTCCTGAGGAAGAATGGGTTGAGCAATCCATTTCTAGTGGTACTCCTGAAGCACAAGCTGAGCAGCAGCAACCTATTTCTAACACTATTTCTGAAACATCTCCAGAGTCACTAGATGAAGTGACTCTAGAGTCATTAGAAGAACTTAAAACTTCATCTGAAGATAGGGATTTATCTTTCTTATGTGATGATGACAATGATGTAAATGTCCCCAATCCTAACAAACAAAGTGCATCAAACAATTTGAAAAATGCTGCTGATGATTTGCTGATTTCAGATGGGCAAACTGAAGGTTTGGAAAAGAATTCTCCAGAGCTTAGCACTAAAAAGAGTAGTACAGAAAAATCACCTGGAACTGAAGAGCCCAAAGGATGTTTTGCTGCTTCTGAAGAGGCTTCAGCTGTAGAGTTTCAGTTAAAGCCTGGCCATTCACAGAAAAAGGATGTTTTGCATCAGAACAGTAAAACTCTTGCTTGTGAAGAAAATCTCCTGAATCTTCATAAGGAAAGACATATAAATATGCACAGATAGAATGTAACCCTCTCCAGGCACGTACATTATCCTAAAAACAGGTATGTACTCTACAAGTTGCACATTCTGGGTTTTTTACATTTTTTTGCCTTTTTTTTTTTTTTTTTTTTTACATTTTAATATAGTGAAAGGAGATGAATCACCATCCAGGGCTTCTGTTTTATGATAGTGCTATATCATTTGTTTTGACTACACTATAATCTCAATTTACATGCCACTGGTCAACAAATGCAGTGAATACTAACTGCTTCTTGCCCTTTGGCTTTGCACTGACTGGATCTGCTTCTGCTCCCTTCTGGAGCAAATCTGCTATCTTGCAGAACTTGGGAATTCTTCAAAAGTAATATTTCTATATCAGCCTCCTCTTTCCTCCTCAACTGAGCTGTAGAACCAGAAACCAGCTCTACTCATTGATCCCCTTCTCCACAGTCAGCTGGCCTTATGAGGTGTTCAGAAGCACTTGATGAAGCTGAACTTCCAGTTTTACAAGAATTTGCGGTGACTAGTGAGTTGACATTCTACAATATTTTCGGACAAGCCATGAAGAATGGCTGAGCAGACTGGAGAATAAGTAGAGAGATAATAAGTCATTTCTTGATGTCAGTTTACCATGATTTAAGTTCAGTAAGCCATTACTAAGAACACAGTTATTACAATAGTGTTAGGCCAAAAGCTGAGGTTACCGAAAATAAGAAACCTTTGCAACATCATTAAACAGGATAATGTGAGGGTAATGTAAAATACAGACCTGAATACCAAAGCAGATGGAAACTGATAGCCACACAGCAGTACAGGTTCTAGTTTGTGGTAAGCATTTTGAAACATAAGATGGTGGAACCTAAGATGAAAAGTGACTCTGATCTCTTCCAAACTTTGAAAGTGGTTCAGATCTGGAGTTTCTGACCTCACATAAATGTCTAGCAATAACTGCACATTTAACAACAAAAGAAGATCTACAAAGAAAGTTCTGGATCAGATCCTAGCATGTAGCACTGCTGCTTTGCGTCTCACTAGCTTTTGGTGACCCAAAAGCCAGCATAACTGTATAGAATGCCATTAGTCTTTGGAAACACTCCTCCAGTAAGACTAGAGCCAGCATGGCAACTCCAAATGCCACTCCAGTTCCAAATGTCTCTGCTTGCCAAAAGCTGTAGCAAGGGAATTTCCAACAATGTTAACCACAGGACCAGGTTTCCCTGGGAAGTTCTGGAATCTCCACCCTTGGAGATATTCAAAATTCAAGTGGACATGGCCGTGAACAATCTGATCTGCCTTTGAAAACAGCCGTCCTTTGAGTGGGAGGTTGGACCAGATGATGTTTACATTTCCTTCCAACCTAAGTTATGCTATGATTCCATGATTTTGCTAGGAGAAAAGGCTGTTATTCATCACTGCCCATGAAAACAACTAGTACTCTCCTGCTGCAAACTATGTAGCTGTAGCAGAGGATCTGGGCCTATTTATACAAAACAGATTGCTTTGCTGCTGTTAGATATCTAACTTCTGCATTTCCTGATTTTGTCATATTATATTACTATGCTTTGGGCTTTTCTTTTGCACATATTGGCATTTACCCATCATTCACGCGTTCACATATGTATAACTATGTCTAGCAAAGTCTTTAGGTTATGACAGCAATAGTCTACAGCTTGCCACTATCTCCTGCGACACCTATCTATTTGAATAATGCATTATCATGGAACCATCATAGCAGAGAGGGTGTTTCTCGGAATGGCTTTGAAATAGGCTCTCATGACCTGTTGATTACCAATTACCAACTTGGACACATTCAAGCAATTGGAGAAGCAATGGAAATCAACTGGGAATTACAAAGCTCATAGATACTCTATATTCTAGAAATACATTAAAAGGATTATGTGTATGTGGAAGCCTCTATTTGGAAATTGAGATGATGACAAAAGTCTGAGGTTGATAAGTGATAATTATGTAAACATAAGCTTTTCCTAAATTACTGTTTTATTAGTTTTCTTATTTTTTTCACTCATTTTTATAATATTAGTTTGAGGAAGAATACTTACTATAGTGAGTGTGATTTTAGTCTTGTTCTCATTCTTTCACTGATGAAGATAATAACATGTCTTTTCAATTCATTAGTACTTTTTCTCTGAGGATCTCAAAATACTGTATAAACTTTCCCTCACTCTTCAGAACTTCATAGTTACTTAGCCAGCTGTGTTTTTCATAAGCCTGGGATATGACAATATGCAGTTGGTGTAAGGACTGAGATTGGACATAAAGGATGGAGTTGTTAATAAATGCCCCACAATGTAATGAAATGTAATACAGAGTCTGTATGTAACAGATAATAGGGTTATGTGACAGTTTTAATTTTTGCCCAGGGGTTGACAAATATTTTTAAGGTAACAAAGCCCTTCACTCTACATCCCACTTTTTACATTTAGGAAGATGTACTGGTTCTTAACTGATACATATATCATTGCTTCCACGGAAGTTATGTACTGTATTATTCCCAGTAGTAAAGCCCTAGGATACATATAGTTTATCTCTGGCACATCAAAAAATGAAAATATGAGCTGCTAGATTTGGTTTCACTAAAGTCTGAGCTCCCTTCCCCCATTCACAAGCTTGGTGCTTTAACTTCATCTCTCATGCTATGGGGAATGAATTACAGAAGCAATCTATCCTAATTTGTTAACTTATTCAAATAACAGTTATTATACTTAACTATGCTAAAGATTATCTTTTTCGTGGCAGATTGTTTATTTTTTGATGAGGCTAATTACTGATTTTCCAAAGGTAATTTACATTTATTACTAATACATCTTTTAAAATGTGACAGATAAATGTTGTTCCCATAAGTGTATTATGAAAAAAGTTACTATTTAAAAACACATTATTTAATTTGAAAGATAAATGGCAAACACCATTATTTTTCCTGTAGCACCTGTGCTGTAAGCTCATTTAAATGTGTAATTCCATGTGTAGCTGCAATACTCAGAGAAAAATAATCTATAGTATATGTGTACCTTAAAAGTATACTGAGAATTCAAAGCTCAAAAAAGCACAGTTTCAAATGTAGTTTGGTTTTATACTGTTTTAGCATTTACCTTGGCTGTACAGGAGAATAAAAGTAATGATGAAGAAAATACTTTTGCCAAACGTTGCAATCCTGTTATTTAGCAGTGTGCTACCAAAAAATTACCATTATGGGAAAATAGTAACAATTCTATAAGCAGGCTTAAAACTATCTCTGTCAGCACTGACCAGGCTCTCGTATGAGCCGACACAGAGTTCTTCAGCAGAGGGGCTCATAAAGCTATGCTGACTTTATTTCTCAAGTAGGGGACACCTTGAAAGAACTGTCTTTCTGTATGTGAGATCATGCGATCTTCGGCTGTCACTGTGACCCATGACTCACCAGCGGGATGGGAATTTTTAGTCACATATTCAATATGTGTAGAGATCATTAAGGAGTTTATGTGATGTGTCCAAAGTCTTTTCTACAGGATATGTTAGAATTCTGTGTGTGACCTGTTAGTTCTTACAACTCGAAAAGCTATTTCCTTCCTTTTGTGGAGAATTTGTAATTTAAAATTAAGTTTGAACTTAATTTAGGGGGAAAAAAGTATTTTTACATGAGCTTAAGAAGAATAAATTGGTTTTCTCTGACAGTGCTGCAATGTTACGCAGAATGTCCTGACACTTACTATAGCCAGGAGAACCCCAGGACTGGTACTCAGAAGGCCTGACTGTTATTTCCTGTTCAGCAATAGATTTTTTTTTGTGTGACTTATTCCTTCCTCGCCTCAGTTTCTTCAGCAACAAAATAACGAGCATAACGATCAGTGGGACTTGTGAAGCATGATTTATTCACTGAAAAGTGTTTTGAGATCCACAGATAAAAGATGATACGTAAATGCAAAGGACTATTAGTTAATTATTCATTACATGAAAAAAATAATACACAGGTTTACACAATAGTTCATACATAATAATTTACTTTTAGAGACTGGAACTACAAGAATAATCTAAATTTTTGCCTACCATTTTTTTCTTAGAGGTTTTTATAGGGAGGTAGATACTATAATGTTTCTTTATAGAGTTTTAAACAGTCTGACTTTTTAGCTCCTTACAGTAGCTGACTTTAAAAAAAAATTAAATAAACATAATCTTGTATTGTCTGTGATTACATAATTTTTGAAAAACTTGACATAATCCATCAGTGAGACTTTTCTTACTATAGAAATGTGAAACTGATGACAGAGTTGTAGAAACCTTTTGATACAATCTTCCCCTTTATTCAGATCAGTTCTTAATTAATTTCTAAACAAACTGTTGAGCTTTTCACTATTTTCATGTAAGGATTTCTCTTCTGTAAATGGGGGTGGGGGGTGGTCAGTTACAGCAAATAAGATCAAAGGAGAAGATAGCTGGACAGATCCAGATATTCCTGCTTAATTTGGAAGGCACATAGTGCATGTCTGGAGTGCCTCCTAGGCAATGCCTATGAGATGTACTTTGCACTAATCTTTGAGCTGTATTTTGACAGTTATTTCTTCATAAGACTCATCAAAAGCCTGTGCTCTTTGATAAATTGTTTAACCCTAAACTCTGAGCTGGATAGTTCTATAGTATAAAAATTTAAGACATTGCTGGTACTAGAAGTGTCTAAATAGTTATTTACAATTTAAAAATACAGCAGTGACACTGACAATTCTATTAATGGACCACTTCTGTGACAATCCTTTCCTCCTCTCCATCGAAATCGCATTCTATATGTTTACATAAATATTAAAAATAAGTGATAGGTAGATCTTTTTGTTGCTTGGCTTTTGAAAATCCATGTGTTTTCATTGATTGGTGCACTTCTGAGTGTGCTGAAGGTAAGTTCACAGGTAAGGATGAGGACAAGATCCAGGGAAAAGGTCAGATTTGATAACTTTCCTTGTTTCTTTAGAAACAAAATCTTTGCAAAAATCAATGAGTTTTCTACATCAATACAATTTTTTACACTAACTTGTACCTCAGGCTGTTAAAAAGTCATTGTTTGCCTACTGTATGCTTCTGCATTAAAGGCTCTGGCGTGTGACCATTTAATGACTATCTACGGTTGTTCTGGAAGAGCTGTGTTTTGCAAATAAAACTTCATATTCTGTAACCTACTATTACCTTTTTGTTTCCTTTTAGAAACTTGGCTGCAATTCAGGTGCAGGTTCATCCTGTAAACCCTGGGATGACCTCCAATTCCATTGTATCACTGCCTTTCATTACACTGACTCCCAAGATAAATTTTCTTTCCAGACGTGATTTGTCCATGTTGGCTTTGTGATCAGGCTGCATATGCTAGTCCTATTTCAGTGATCATTTTGTATTGTAGCAAGGCCATTTGCTTTCATATGGATTTCTCTCCCAAGCTACCTCTAATGACCTCCCCTTCCTAAATTGGATGCTTCTGTACTACTTATCACCGGATCTGTTGTTTAAAGTTTTGAAGTTCCACAGAATTCACGATCAGTCTGATTCATCTTTTCAGAACTGTACCTGTCAGTACTCTTCTATTTTATGTATCAAATTGAATATTTATGTGTATAATGCAGAAGTTTATTGAAACTATTTTACTTTTAAAGTGACAATTTTGTTGGATTGCAGCAAAAAGAGTCATTAGCCCTCCTGATTCAATACATCTAAAAATTAAGCAATTAAAATAAATGGCATTTTATTTATTTAATTTTAAAATTTAATCTATGCAACACTTCAAGAAACAACTACATGGTGTTGTATATTAGGAACTGTTGACATTCTACTGAATTAAGTACATTTTGGTTTTTTATGCTTCTTGAGGTGGTAATGAGAAAAAAAGTTTTTAAAAATTGTGTGCCTTGCTGTATTTCTTATACCATTTATTAACAAGCTGCTTTCACAGTAAAATTATGTTGGTTTGAAAGGAGGAAATAGCAAGGTTAAGATGTGTGAATAATTTCTGTATATATGTATAACCAAGTGCAAACATTGATGTATAATGACAGTATAAAATGCTTTCATGTTTGTGATGTCCAGTGATGTGGAAAATATAAGCCTTAAAACCATTAGATTGCATGGTAATTAGAATTGGCATAATAAACATAGTTTATTGGGGAAAAAAAAGCAGAACTGGTGATCTGTTTTACCTGCGTTCCAAGAACAGAATGCTTTATCGAAGTACAGAATAATATAGTTTTGTTTGCAAATATTCCCTAAAGATATTAAAGATTCTGCAGGTCTTTTGGGCCAAATAAAGAGATAGAAATATTTAGTTGTTTAAACTAGCATGCAGCCAACTGCAGTGGTGGCAATGATCAGGCACAATTTTATAGCAGACCTTTTCTTTGTTTATCAGTAACAGTTTGTTGTCTGATTCTTAAAATTTCATTCATTTACATAATTGCATTGAATAAGCTTTATATATATTTATATAGACACTTTTACAGTTGGCTGTTTCAATGACTTAGACTGCACATTTTAAATGTTTTTATCTTGTGCTAAAACTATATTGGGTGGCCAAAACAAGCCAGACAGCTTTATAACCTCTCTCTGCAAACATGGCATTCGTATCCTAACAACACTACTGGGAAGGGATGTCAGGAAAGTTAAAAGGCAAGGAATGCTCTCCCATGACACCTTTAATCATTATTTTTCCAAGTATATAAATATTTTTACAAAAAGCTTCAACATCCTTCTTCCTTTAAAAAATGTGCATTGGTTTGACAAGCTTAGCTAGTAGCTTAGAGGAACTATACTGGCCAGCTGATATATTCATACAGCACTGAAGGAACAGGTATTTAAAAACACCTTGTGTTTTCCAAATGAGTAACAGCTTCCTATTACTGCAAGAGGCAAATTATTTATCTCTCAATTTATATTTCCACTGCATAGCTTTGGGTAGGCTATGGTGTGGGTAGGGCAGCAGAATCAACTCTTAAAGAAAAGTGTAAATAAGAAGTGATAACTAAGAGAGCCTTTTGAATCCATTAAGTTTTCTGCTCTTGCATATCTTGTATCATGTAAAAATCTAATAAGTTAACCTATAATTACTTAAAATGTATAACTATACAGCTAATGATCGGTTTAATATATTTTAAATAGTCTTTTGAAATATATATAAAGCAGTTCGGAACAGAACTCCTAATTTTAGTAAAATATTTACAGTGACAATTATGTTCATTTATGAGTTATTTCAAATATGATTTCTTAAATGGTCTTGACATGGGAACTGAGTTTGGAATCATGCCTTTTTTCTCCCTAGCATTTTCTCGTTTGTGTTGTATTTTTTTAAGCTTACTTTGACTATAGTCATATCTTACACTGTGACAGCAGGAAAACTATAAGTCAGAGGCTTTTCAGATCTGAAACCTCACCCAACAGACTGTGCAACTCCATCAATTACTTGTACCATTCTATTAGGCCATTTGCCACAAATTTGCTTTTTTCCTGGGGGAAAATAGTAGTACTTGTCAAATCAATAAACCTCATATTCACCATACAATATCTGGAATATTGTATGGTCACAACTCAAATTTCTGTGGCTTCTTTCTGAGAGATGCTGAACAGTTTAATTTAACTAGTGTTATTTGCTCTTATGAGATAAAGTCATCATTTTTATGACTGTGATGGAGGACCCATCATTTTTTGGCATAGTTAGAAGCTTTACCTTTATTTTTATTTTTCTTCTCAGAATATAATGGACTTCATTGTCAATAAAAATGGATTTCTAAAGGAAAAGATATCTCTGATAAATATTCTACAAGATTTGTTCGTGTCTTGGTGTAAGCCATATGCTTATGGCCACATTGTGCCTAGAACTTGCAAGAAGTTCTAGTGCTAACTCCCTAAAGAAAAATATTGGTATGGCGTAAAATTAATGTTGATGTACCAATATTACCTCTAAGATCAGCCCATACATAAATTCCTGTATAGACCCTATTCCCTGCTGGTGAAATTCTCTTGTGGCGTAGAAGCATGCTGCAAGCTTCCTGCAGCGTTTATCCCCACGTAACGTTCTATAGGCTGCTTTTTATTCCACACACTCCCTGGCTCATGCTTGAACAACATCTGCAATGTGTGAGGAGGCCATTTGACAGCAATGGCCCTGACACATGGATCTCCCTTTCCTGCCCGCTTCACATTCCTTCCACGGAGAGCCAGAGCTCTCCAGCTCTAAGCAAAGGGAATGCACACTAACACGGGTGGTAAAACACACGCCTGGGACTATGATTTGAAAGGTGTTTTGTAATCACAATAGTTTTATACACGAATAGCCTTGTAAACCACGTCCCCAGTCTTTCTCACTTAATGGTTTGCCTTTTTCCCAAGGTAAGTTTTTAGGGAACAGTGCCTCTGCATCTTTGTTATGGTAAGAGAAATTTAGGTGGCATCTCTGTCCTTAGGGTTGTTCATGCTGTTCATTGTATATGTGTATGTGTAAGCGTAGAAACACATGCAAACATACTGAAATTCCTGTTCCTGTTTCTTTCACAATAAATTCAAATAATGAGTCGCTGTCAGTTAGATGGCGTCTCAACCTTCCTCCTTGATGACAGGATCCATGGATGACAGCCTCCCACGTCACATATTTTAGAATTTTACCACAATTCCCCTGTGTTGAGGAAAACAACATATTTAGACTAAAATGTATCTGGTAAAAGGGCTGGTTTTTTTCTTTTTTTCTTTCTTTTTTTTTTTTTTTTTTTTTTCTTGAAGACATCAGGAACAGTGTTGTAAAGGTTCCTGTGCTGCAATGTACAGAAAAGGGGTTATTAATGTTTAGGCCAGACTGTGCTCATACTTGGCTCAAGAGGATTAACAGGGATGTCAAGTTCTTAGCCAAGTCAATCTCCTTCACTGACAAGTTTCTACAAACTTATTCCTAATAATAGCATCACTTTGAGAGGGATTTTGGCCAACAAATTACTTCTGATCTATTACCTTCAGTGTTGTGCTTTTAATTTTTCAGACTCACACTGGTTTTTATACCTTTTCTACCAATCCAAATCGCTTACATTTTTCATGTGACTACAGTTTGCTCAGTAAATACGTGCTCATCCCTGATTTTAGAAGTGTTTTCAAGAAATAGACCATAAATGAACTTGGCATCACTTAGGTCTGTGCCCTGGATTAACTCTAAGTGCTTCAGTGCTTTAAAAATGGAATTTCCTATGAAACAGCAAATAGTATTACTTTATTTCTGGGGAGTGGGGAAACAAGCTAAGTTAAAAGTGAAGTTAGAATTCTGTAAGTCAGTAATTTTAGTGGACAAATATTACTGGGATATTGTAGTTATTGTCAAACTAATTCTTAAAAAATTACAAGAAGTACAGAATTACATCATGCTTAAAATGATTTGGTATGAAAAGAACAGTTAGATAAGTAAATTTTTTTACTTCTGCCTTATTTTGAACTCACAGCTCTGTGATATTCTGGGTTTGCAAATGGAAGTGAAAATAATTTTAAAAACACATGCAATTTAAAAAAGATTTTTCTCTTTCTTGTAATTACTGTGAGGATGTTTTAAATGCAGCAAGGATCCATTTGTAGCATTTTCCAAAGAAACGTTATGAGAATGACAGGGAAAGGGAAACATATTTGACAAGATTTCAAGTGATAGTGGAAAAACACAAACCATTCTTGATGCACTTCATTTACAGAATGAAAAAAATCACGCTCTGGGAGAACTGATACTGAGCATCAACCACCTACCCCAAATCTATCCCTTTTGTTCAGGGGGAGATAAATGCTACGGGAAATAATGTTCCCTGAGGCAAGGTGGTATGGCAATTTCTCATACAGGCTACTGTGCATATATACCTAAACTTCTGCTCTGTAGCTCTTGAATCAAAAGACTGATCCCAGAATTGCCTTTAGAGGGCATGGATTTTATTGTGTCTTCATAAGGAACAGGACCACATTTGGGCTGAGAAACATCTGCTCTAACAGGCTTGAAAATGAAGTTGTAGCAAGCAGATTTTAAATAACATACAATGGCAGACAAAAAAATTATAAAAGGAAAAGAAAGCAAAAAAGCAATCTTTCTGTAAATCCTAGTGGTCCCCTGCCAGTAGTTTAATCAAGCCTACTCTAAGCTGTGTAGGATTATGATAGGTCTGTTAACTGATCATTGTTTATCCTGACATACTGATGCCAGACAGATCTACGCTTCTCTATAGTTTTTGCTCTACTTAGTTCAAAGTAGGCCTTTTCAAAGTGTTGAAAAGATTATGGAAATGTCTTTTCAATGGTTAAAATTGTGGCATGAATCAAAAAAAGAAAGCCAACCCCTCAGCTCTGTTGGGTTGCTGAGCATCTGTGCCAGTCCAGCTGATCAGTGATGCTTTTGGCCATACTTTGTGGAGGAAAAGTCTTTAAAAAGCTTTTCATGCACATAGAGCTCTATTTTCCACTATTAATATGACTAATAAAGAAAGCTTGCTCTTTAAGTTTGCCCTAAATGAGAATATAAATGTTTCTCAGACCTGTTGCTATTCATTTTACATGTTCCTGCATCTCTTATCCTCTGGTCGTCCAACCTGAACAGTTGTCCACTTGTACCTTTTCTTCTTGCATAATTCATCAACTAAGGAAGAGTTTGCAACTTACGTTTGTAACAGGCAATTTACAGGTAACGTTTTGAAAGGTGGGCAAGTGGCAGGCAGAACAATAGGGGCTTGGAGTGAAGAG